TGGGTCTTCAAGATGGTGGCAAAGTTCTCAAGATTTATTTCATTTTATCTCGAGTTGACTGGCTGTAGAATCGCAGTCAAGAATGTTCTGGCTACCTTAGTGAAAGCCACGTGGGGGAACTGAGCAGGGTCCTGACCTTCACAGAATTTCTCAGACAACTGAATTTAATTCTGTTTTAATTTTATTTTACTTATTTAAAAAAAAATCTTTATTGTTGAAAATATTACATATGTCCCCTTTTCCCCTCATTGACCCCTTCTAGCCCACCTCCAAGCCTTCACCACCCCACCCTATTATCTGTGTCCATGGATTTTGCATATATGCATACAAGTTCTTAGGTTGATCTCTTCCCACGCACCATGAATTTTAATTCTTATTACCTTTAAACGGCATGACATGCCAGTTGTTTTCTTTTGTTGTGACACAGTACTGGGAAATCATGCTGTTGGTGTTTCCCTAATTGTGTTTTGTCTCTTTTTTCCTTCTTCTACTCCAAAATACTTTGGACAGCTGTGGGATGGGTAAGAACTTTTGCCAGATTTTGAAATGTAACTCTCCTGCAGTGGCCTCCACAGGTAACAGGAAGACATTAAGTATTCTAATCTACCACCATCTGTGATCCTTGTTCAGTTCAACTGAGGTTTTCTACAAATAATCTAAGTGGTGTAGCTTCCTTCACTTCCATAGGGAGAATAATTCATACTAGATCTCCTTGTCTCAAAATATTACCATATGTTCAGTATGATTATCTCAATAAAGTTTTGTTTCGTTTCTATATATTGTTAACTGGCACATCACCCTGGACAGCTGCTTAATTTAGTTAGGCCCATTTTAGCATGCAAATTAGTTTTTTCCCATAGAAATGTTCCAAAAATAATATATCCCCTTGCTCCTCTCTTCCCACAACTCTCTTTCATAATATCTTTGTTGGAGTTAGTTTAAAATAGAATGTTTAATGACAAAAGTTTGAATAAAGTAATCCAATCATGTGGGAATTGAAAAATATTCTCCTTAAAAACTCTTGGGTCAAAGAAGAAATAAAAATTCCAGTTATAGTCTATCTGGGAAGCAAGAATGCTAATACTGCAAGCAAAACTCATAACATGCAGCCAAAAATTTACTTTGGAGGAAAATTATTGGACTTGAAATTTTGTTACTAAACAAGAAGAATAAAACTTAATGAGCTGACTATTAAACCTGAGCTTTTGGAAATGAACAAAGGAACAAAAACCACATATATACCCGAAGAAAGCAAGTTAAAACATTTACTAAGAAGCACAAGCATAATTAACAATTCGAAGGAGAAAAATTATTAAATTAATAAGTCCAAGATCTGTTACTTTGAAGAAAAACCTTAGTGCTTGGCGGGTAAGGCTCAGTGGTGGAGCATGGACCTATGAACGAGGAGGTCACGATTCCATTCCCGGTCAGAGCACATGCCTGGGTTGCGGGCTCAATCTCCAGTGTGGGGCATGCAGGAAGCAACTGATCAATGATTATCTCTCATCGTTGATGTTTCTATTTCTCTCTCCCTCTCCTTTCCTCTCTGAAGTCAATAAAAAATATATTTTAAAATAAGTAAAAAAGAAAAACTTTTGCATATCTAACCACAGGAAAGGAAGAACATAATTTACAATATTAGGAGTGAGAGAAGAGATAAAGAGAGAGAGATTTATCCACAGATAAGAATTAAAACATTGTAAGAATTGAAAATCAGCAATTAGGAGATAATTTGTAAGTAAAATAGATGTCAAATGAGATTTAGTAAGAAATGGAAATATTGAAAGATTTATAACCACTTAAGACATTGAAATAATTATTAAAGAGTTATTTCTGAATAAAAAAGTGTTTCAAGTAATAAATTATTTGTATATTGAAATCTTTCTAATCAATTGATATAATCATGGCCATGATGAATTCATCTAATAAAAGTAGCACAAATAGCCAGTCTCTCTTAAAAGCATAGATGAAAAAAATAAAACCCAAAACAAAACAAACAACAAAAATACTGCAAACAAAACAAAATAATTAGCACAGATAAAATGTAAGCAATATTAAAGCATTAATACACCAGTTCCAAGTTGGTCATACACCAACAATCTGACTCCTTTAATAACTAAGAAATTTATTACTATGGATAACACAAGATTAATGCTAGAAAGCAAATAATTCATCCAAGTATTATTAAAATGGCACACTGTTTATTTCTGATTTTCAAAATTAAAACTCAGTAAACTAAGAATGGATCACTTCCACAATCTGATAAAAAATACCAAACTCAATGGTGAGATATTGGGAGTGCTCCTGTTAAAAACAGGACTGCACAGGAAAAGATGCTCAACATCATTAATCATCAGAGAAATGCCAATCAAAATTATAGTGAGATACCATCTCACCCCTAGCAGAATGGCTGTAATAAAAAAGAGATTTCAACAAGCATTGTGTGGAAAAATTGGAACCCTCATACTGGGTAGGAATATAAAATGAAACAGCCCCTCTGGAAAACAATCTGAGAGTTCCTGTAGAGATTAAACAAAGAGTTACCATCTGATCCAGCAATTCCATTCCTAGGTGTGTGTGTGTGTGTGTGTGTGTGTGTGTGTGTGTATATCTCCAAGAGAAATGAAAACATATGCCCTCACCAACACTTGTATAAGAACGTGCATAGAAGCAATATTCATGACAGCCAGAAAGTGGAAACAATCCAAAGGACTATCAACTGACAAATGGATAAATAAAGTGTGATATCTATATAGATAAAATCCCAGCGACCCAACGGCAAAACGACCAGAGCGACCAGTCGACCAGTCGCTATGACGCACTGACCACTGGGAGCAGACGTTCAACGCAGGAGCTGCCCCCTGGTGGTCAGTGCACTCCCACAGTGGGAGCGCCGCTCAGCTGACAAGGATGGGCAGAGCTCCCACAGCAGGCTGATCCTCGCAGGCCACGCCCCCACCTGTGCACAAATCCATGTACCAGGCCTCTAGTATCCACGTAATGGATTATTACTTGGCAATAAAACAAAATGAATATGATGCTAAGTTAAAGAAACCAGTCACAAAGTATAACATATTCCATTTATATGAAATGTCCAGAATAAGCAAATGCATAGACAGAAAGTAGATTGATGGTCGCCTAGTGCTGAGGTGATTTGGAGGGAATGCTAATGGGTACAGGGTTTTTTTTTTCTTGGGGTGGGGGTGATGAAGATGTTTTAAAATTGATTGTGGTAATGTTTGCACAACGATGATATGTACAATGCTGTGAATATACCTAACACCATTGAATAGTCTACTTTCAATGGGTGAATTGTATGAAATGTGAATTATATCTCAATAAAGCTGTTACTAAAAAACCGAAAAAAACAACACAAGAGTGGCTGCTGTCACCACTGTCATTATTTTGAATGGTCTAGTTCGTGTCATTACACAAGGGGGAAAAGAGGTATAAATACTGGAAAGGAAGAGACAAATTATTATAGAAAATATTCCTCTCTACTCAAGTAACTTTATTGAAGATCCAAGTGACTTTATTGAAAAAAGCATTAGAACCAATAAAAGAGCTTGGTAAAGAATCAGTTATAAAACATAAAATTAGGCCAGAGGTTATTATCCTTACTGTATGAACTGTTCTGATGAATATGTAAGGAGTGATGGCCACCTAGTAGGAAAGTAAACCAATGCTATGAAGACCATTGACGAAAGAGACAGAGGGATGGAGACCCATTGAAAGAATGTGGAGCATATCAGTAACAACAGAGGTACTTCTTCAAAACCGGAAGCTGATAGGTTCTTAAATGAACATCTTTAAGAAACAACCATTCACCAAGTCTCAAGAAATATGCAACCACCTTGGAGTAAATGGTCTGACTAAAGAAAATACTTGAAGTACCTAATGCTTTATTTACCTCATTAGATCCCTGGAAATTGGGAAGATATGGGATGGGACCTGGAAGACTGGTTTGGTTCTAAGGGCTCAGAGGAGACTGGACGATGGGTGTCTTGAGTGCTGTTTGCCCTTGGAGTTGTCCTTGCAGTGTTTGTTAGGTTGGATACCCACCTAGGTCTTCCCTGGAGCAATTGGAAAGCCTTGGGCTCTCCAGTCACATCAGGACCACAGCTTCTCCATTGGCCTAAAGAATGGGGCAAATACGACCCACTAGGCCCTAAGCTGCCTCATGGAGGGCAAGTAACCATCCTGACTTGAGGGATGAGGGTTGAGCTATTGCCCATCTTCAGTTTTTCACTTGCCCTGGAGAGATTGTCTTGTCATTTCCATTACATTTTGTATTGGAATGATCCCAGTGCACACATCCTTGAAATTGCTCTGCATATAAGAAATATCTTCTTGATAAAAAATCGTTTCCAAGAAATCTCTCCTAACAGTTCAAATGAGCTCAGTGGTGAGAATTCCATTTGTTAGAGAGATTTTACTATAAGTGAATGTGAGCATCTTAATTTGAGAGGTTTTCCTTGGAAAATGCAGAACACTTCTCTGATACTTTTTGCTCCCAGATATATATTTCTATTTCCTGCTCATTTATGTGGAAGCAAACAGCCTTGAGATAATTTCTACAACCATGAAACACATAGGAAAGTATATTGTCTTTTTAATAGAAAATAATTCATACATAGTTATTGTGTGAATGCTGAACTTTGATACACACGCTACCTGCCTTAAATTAGAATTATGTAATTACAGTGAAATGAAAACACTGGCCTATTTCAGATATAGAAAGGGTAATCTTAAAGAAGAGGTTTTATAAATCTTTTGTGGTACATTAAAGGTTATATTTAAGGAATTGGGGAAATTTTATCTTTTGGTATACAGATTCATACTCTGAGATCTAATTAATTTAAGGGGAAAATTTTGTTTTTTTCTTATTGGGAAAATTCTCAAATTGCATTTTGGATTAAGAACAAGATTACCTACTTGTTTTTCACTTTCCTGACTAGCTCCGGTGCTGTAACTATAACTGTGTCAAATGCTTTTCCTAGGTCGAAAATGTCCGCTTGCTAGATCGAATATCTTCCAAAAAGGCAGCCCTAGGAACTTTGTATTTGACGGCTACTCATGTCATATTCGTGGAAAATGCACCTGACACAAGAAAGGAAACATGGGTATGCATTCCTTATTTCCGTTGTTTGAAGTAAAGAGCTCAATCCTCCATTCTTTTGTTTGTCCCCAGGGTGAGGTGGGCAGGCTCTTGGTGTGTGGGTATTCAGGGGGCTGTTTGGGGAATGTGACCTTCGCCTTTTCCAGTAGAGTCCAATCTACTTCATCTACATCAGCGGTTCTCAACCTGTGGGTCGCGACCCCTTTGGCGGTCGAACGACCCTTTCACAGGGATCACCTAAGACCATCCTGCATATCAGATATTTACATTACGATTCATAACAGTAGCAACATTACAATTATGAAGTAGCAACGAAAATAATTTTATGGTTGGGTCACAACATGAGGAACTGTATTTAAAGGGCCAGAAGGTTGAGAACCACTGATCTACATATTCATTTTAAACACTAATTGTTTGACTAGAAAGAGCCAGAGATACAAGTGGTTCATGTCACAGCTTTTGAGTAGAGATTCTGTAATGTCAGTATCCCAGATATAGTCATTTTATTCTGTTGTCTCCACTTTTCTGATCATTAAAAGGAAGGGAGGAAGGGAGGAAGGAAGGGAAAAGCAAAGCTAGGGAAGCATCCTATCATCAGGCATCTCTGCTATGCAATCATGAGACAGAATATTCCTTATGTTGTATAGCCCGCTCACCATGACATGGTGACCAGGGCCAGAACCGCTGAATTGTAGATTGGCCTTTTCTCTAGTCCATAGACATTGCTCCGTTTGCAGCTGAAGGGGGCAGGCACTACTTACTGGAGAGGAATTGAAAGGATGAAATGCTTGCCATGGAGGACTGAGCAGAGACCCTCCTGAGACAACGGACATGCCCTTCAGCATGATTTCCCTTAAAAGAAATCTCCTCTGCAGCCAGCCTGACCCCCAACAACTTAGCAAACAAGTGCAAGTTGCTATTGAGCTTGAGCATTCCATGTGGAATTCGGGAGCACGGTGGCCCCTCCCAGCGGAGTCATCTCTGACTTTTGTTGATTGCAAGATTTATTTTACTAACTTCTCATGACCTTCTTTCATTTGAGCTATTAACCGCAATCAGCAGTTGACTACCAAAATGTTCCCTTGCCCGGACTTGTATGCTGAATCATTGGCTCCAAATCATGAGCCTGGGTATCCGAAAGCTTGACACAGAAAAAACAAAACGGGAAATCTAGACAGTTGGTTCTTTCCCAAAACATCTCAGTTCTTGTTATCTGAGTGCAGGTGTTGAGCTAGCTGAAGGTCGGGGAGTGTTGGCGGTCTGTCTGTGTGGCTCCAAGATCTGTGTCACTCCTCGCCCTGTTTATCAGTTGTTTGTGCTCAGCTTATCCACGCTCACTTTCGGTTGCAGATTCTTCACAGCCAGATTTCCACCATTGAAAAACAGGCAACAACTGCTACTGGATGCCACCTGCTCATTCGTTGCAAGAACTTCCAGCTCTTACAGCTCATCATCCCCCAGGAGAGAGACTGCCATGACGTGTACATCTCTCTGATACGCCTCACGAGGCCAGGTAGGCCTGGGGAGCTCGGCCTGGCACGTGGCCCCACCCTTCAGAAATTCACAGATCACACCCGGCCAGTGCATATGGCGCTCGAGCATTTAGTGTTTTGGGAATAAGATGCTCTCCCAGGCCTCCGAAGAGGCCAAGAAATCGGAATCATAGCTTTCCTGATCTCTGAGGAGCTCTCCCCGAGTTGCCTCCTATAGGAACCAGTCATTATTCTTAGCATTCACTTTATCTCTGGGGGTTATAAGTGTGTTTGTTTTCCCTTCAGGGTAAAATCATCTTAAAATTATGCCCTTCTGATACTGTGAGAATCACGTGACCTGGATGGAGGTCTAAGTCCAAACTGACAAATTGTTTCCTATGGAAAACATTGCTGTCACACAATTCCAATGCAGTCTTCCCCACCTTGGGTGGGGCTTTTAAGACTTGGTTTCTGTTCCTTTTTGATAGTAACATATGTGTCCCAAGGTTGGTATAACTAGACCGTGTTAGCATCATTGACTATTCAAAGTGTGGATCTGTTGAATCTCCGAAACAGAAGCTCTTTAAGTGTCCTTGGAAGACAGTTTGGTTGATTTGAGAAATGTTGTGATATATCCCTCATCTTGGGTCTTCCGATTTGTAGCCCATTACCCACTTCTATAGAAGTGTGTCTTGTCTCCCTGTGTGGCCTCTGTGAGCTGTGGGTTCTTATTGCTTAAAAGAAATACATGTCGCCCGGCCGGCGTGGCTCAGTGGTTGAGCATCAACCTATGAACCAGGAGGTCACGGTTCAATTCCCAGTCAGGGCACATGCCCGGGTTGCAGGCTTGGTTCCCAGTGTGGAGCTTGCAAGAGGCAGCCGATCCATGAATGTCTCTCATCACTGAGGTTTCTCTCTCTCTCTCCCTCTTCCTTCCTCTCTGAAATCAATAAAATGAAATACATGCCTGAGTTTCTGAGGAGAATACAGTGAACAGAGGTCCTTGATGTAAAGGTCATATTCATGGTGGTGCTACCCAGAAGTCATGAGCAAGGAAATAGGATATGGGCGTGTAGTTACTTTGCTGAATGCCTTGCAATTCAGGACCAGCAGTTTGATGATGCTCCTCAAGTCAGTGGGTCGGGTCCTCGGTTTCTTAGGCTCTGACCATATCATCGGTAGACAGCTAAGAGCTAAAGTTAGGTCATGAAAACGGTGCCAGGGACTGTCAGAACCTGACGATTCTGTGTGCTCCTCTTGGAAGGCAGCTGGTTGGAGCGTTTTCCTCTTGCTGTGTTGAAAAGAACTGCAGAGTTAGCCAGGAAAGCGGTTGAACTTTTGGGAGGCGGCACTATAATTGGAACAGAGGTCTGGGAAGAGGGACATGAGGTTGCATGCAGCCGAGAATGCGAGGACAATTGTGGGCCAGCAGTGTCTGTGTCACTGATTAATGGGTGTGCTGGATAACAAATGTGCTCCGACCGGATTAATGGGTTTAGGAATAGCCTGGAGACCTGGGAAAGGGCTAAGCAGCTGGAAGATCCCAGGCCGGTGAGGGCTCCAGCCCGAGGATGGCCAGCCCAGGACCCACAGTGTGAGGGTCCCCCACAGGGGCAAAATCACAGTGTTCCCCTGGTTCTAAAAATGCACACTTTTTCTTAAAAGTGAACATTTGAGAGTTAGTTATTAGACAACCACAGATCAAAAAAGGAAACCTTAGTAATTCATTGAATTAAAGCCGTTATCTTAAAAGGTTTTAAAAAGCCACCAGCATTTTGAAACATTGGAATGAGCAATGACA